CTTAATTGAAAACCCAATGGTCCAATGTTATATCTAAAAGGACACGTGCTTACTGGTGGATTCATAAAAGAAAACTAGTGGGTTCAAAAAACTACGAGAGACAAAACATTAGTGGGTTCATAAAGTCTATTGATTACAACACTTATTTCGGCGACTCTTCGACCTCCGCTGCGAGCTGCGATGCAACAAACAGTTTCCACATGTTCTCATCTTCTTCGAAATGAACCATCCGAAAGAGACAAAAATAATTGTTGCTACAGAAGCTCTAGACTTGATGATCCGGTGACAGATGATTGGAGAAAGAGAGACAGATGAGAGTGCAAAGAAGAGAAAGGGAGAGGGAAAGACATGAGCGAGGGATGATTTGAGGATTAGGGCAAAAATTCGCAAAAAATAATGGTTTTATAGGAGTTTCACANCAAAGAAGAGAAAGGGAGAGGGAAAGACATGAGCGAGGGATGATTTGAGGATTAGGGCAAAAATTCGCAAAAAATAATGGTTTTATAGGAGTTTCACAAACTCGATCGGTTTGATAATAATCGTCTGGTTTGAATGGGCTAGACAAAACCTGGCTGGTTCAATGAGTCTTGAGTGGGTTTAATGCTAAAACGATCCGACTAATGAATCGGCCCAGTTTAAGGTCCAGTTCACCGGTTTATCGAGTCAACCCTCTGAATTGGGCCGAATTTTAAAATACTGATTTAAATGTCATCCATATAGGCAAAGATAATATTTACACCTTCTTCAAGGATAGTGTTAAGGTTGTCCTTATACCTACAACACGAAAGAGGTGTCCTGTAGCACCTCAGGCTAAGGGCGGACCTTTTCTTCTTGTTCTTGCCATCGAGGAGGACGTAAAAAATAGTGGAAAAGTGCATGCCCTTGTAATAAAGGGTGAGGGAGAACAGATTGTTAAGCCTAAACCAACTCTTGAGAGTTGTTATAGTTGTTACTTGATGAGTTTCGGAGAATCACGTCGGAGGAGTTACAGAATGGCTTACTCCCTCTAAAGGACATCGAACATCATATTGACATGTTGCTCAGGGCTAGTCTTACAAACCAGCTCCCAAAGATTAAAATTTCATTTCGATGTATTGTTTTAGTCACAAAAAAAATGAAAACGTTTTAACCCATTTCAAAAACAGAATGAAAAAAAATAAATATTTAAGAATTATTTTTCAAAACATTAGTCGAAATATTCTAAAAGATCTTAAAATACTTTGAAATATTTTAAAATAATTGTACAAATGCATTGAAATATAACAATATTTTAAAACATTATGAAACATTTTGAAGTATTAGAATTTTGATTTCATCTCTGATTCGTTCGGTCTCCTTGAAAATAGAAATGTTTGGAATATTTTGACCGCTTCAAGACGATATTTTGATCCTTGCCTGCTCCATTATTGAATGAGTCCCAAGGAATTCGAAATATTACAAGGACAAGTGGATGAGTTGCTGCAGAAAAGACAGATCAGGATGAGTATGAGCACTTGTGTTGTTCCTGCTTTTACTCACTCTTAAGAAGGATAGGAGTTGGCAAGTGTGTGTTGATAGCCGAGCCATCAAGTGGATCACTGTGAAGTATAGATTCCATATACCTTAGCTTGATGACATGCTAGATATGTTTCAGTGTGCTAAGGTGTACTCCAAGGTTGACTTGAAGAACGGGTACAATCAGATCCATATCCGACTTAGCAATGAGTAGAAGACTGCCTTTAAAACGAATGAGGGGTTGTACAAATGGTTAGTCATGCCCTTTGATTTGTCTAATGCTCCTAGTACGTTCATGAGGGTTATAAACCATGTGTTCAAACCTTTCATTGGAAAGTTTGTAGTTGTCTATTTTGATGATATATTGATTTATAGTTGTAATGAGACTGACCACTTGCAGCACTTGAAAGCAGTTTTTGCAGTCAGCCCATTTGTGAACTTTAAGAAGTGCAGTTCATGATTAATTGCTTGGTGTTCTTAGGCTATCTGATTAATGCTACAAGGATCTTGGTGGATGATGAGAAAATTCGGCTATTTAGGAGTGGCCCACATTGCGGACAATCAATGAAGTTCGCAGCATTCATGACCTTGCAACCTTCTATCGAAGGTTTGTAAGAAATTTTAGCACTAGTGCAACACCACTTATTGATTGCCTGAAGCAGAGGCAGTTACAGTGGACTGAGGAGGCAGCAAAGAGCTTCCAGCTGCGTAAGAAAAAGCTCTTCACAGTTCCTGTGTTGGCATTACCTAGCTTTGAGAAGTTATTTGAGGTAGATTGTGATCCTTCTTGTACAGATATTGGAACAGGTTTGTCCCAAGAGGACAAATCAGTGGCTTTCTTTAGTGAAAAGGTTAGTGAGGTGAGGCAAAAATTGTCTACCTACGAGCAAGAGTTCTATCCGATTGTCAGAGCTTTATAGCATTGGCAACATTATCTGATTTAAAGGAAATCCTTCAAAATACCGACCATCAGGCATTGAAATACCTTAACAGTTCTACTATCCCTAACCGTATGCATTCGTTGTGGGTGGCAGAAATTCATAAATTCTCCTTCACCCTAAAGCATAAGTCTGGCTAGTTAAATAAGGTAGCGGATGCATTGAGTTGGCGTACTATGTTGCTAACTACTGTTCATAATAAGCTAATTGGCTTTGACTATTTGAAAGAGTTGTATGACGGAGATGAGGACTTTCAACAGATCTGGGCCCAGTGCTCGGTTACACGTGGAGTCTTAAGGGATTTTCAGGTCCATAAGAGCTTCTTGTTCAAAGCTACTCGACTTTGCATTCCCTAAGGATCCCTACGTGAGCATATCATTTGGGAACTTCACAGTGGTGGCTTAGAAGGACGCATGGGCAGAGATAAAAGCATTGCTTTGGTTGAAAAGTGTTGCTTCTGCCCCAGCTGAAGAGAAATGTGGAGAGGTTTGTTAAGCNCTTGATTGCATATATTAAGAAAGATGTTTCAAGTATCATTGATAATAAAATGATTGTGCAACGGTTCCAAAATATAAAAACTCATCGAGAACAATTATAAGGATTTATTAAATGCTCGAGAGTTGAAAGCCCCCTTTGTATAGGGCCTCGAACACTAAAGGATACTTTTGATATAAAGCTTTTTTGTTGCTTATTTTTTTTTTGTATATCACTCATATACATGAGTTGCACCTCTAAATGACATTCTTTTGATGTAACTATGGTTATAAACAGTTTATGAATAATGCATATTTTGATGAAAACAATGTTATAGTTACACTTTGAAATTTAAGAATTTAGGTTGTCCCCACTGAGGGAAAATCCTAGGTCCGCCCCTGGGGAGACGACTACCACACATATATATAAAATTTTATCTCCTAATTATCTGTCCATCAAAGAAGTTCTATAAGAGTGGTAGACTTCCACTCCTTATTTTTAGGGAAACCACACCCCATGTATAACCAATTAAGTTACACAATCCTAATTGAGTTAGGCAACCTTTAACCCATAATTAAAATACCAAATATGTAGGACCAATAGGAATATTTTATTAAAATAATAAAAAAAATGTTCAAAAAAGTACAAACAAATTTTTCTCTTTTTTTTTTTTATATGACAATATTACCCGGACTCTATGTCTTATACTTTGCCCAACTGAAGATAAACAAGACCCATTATCTTTCTCATAGGTAAATCCAGTNATATGACAATATTACCTCCCGGACTCTATGTCTTACACTTTGCCCAACTGAAGATAAACAAGACCCATTATCTTTCTCATAGGTAAATCCAGTTCTTTTTCCATAGAAGCCCACCACCAACACCACCACTGACATTGAACAAAAAAATATAGATCTTCTCCCATTCACAAGATATAACAAAACACATATTCATAGAAAAAGAGAGTGATTATTTTTAGTTCATTGTCTTTAGTTCACAAAACCGAACTAGTAAGATCATCCAAAATTCGCCAGTCTAAATAATGATCTTTCAGGAATTTCATAAAATATAATTAAATCTTATCTAAATTCCACATATCAAACAATCGATTTAGAAAGAGAGAGTATTTAGTTCACAGCCATTGAGTTCACTATTTTAGTTTATTGTCGCTGAGTTTACTGTCTTTAGTTCACAGTTGGTTGTGGTGGGTGATGGGATAGGTGCAAGTTTTTAAACAATTTCCTTTATTTAGGATATTTTTATCAACTGCATATTTTATATATCTCTCGCCTTAAAAGTATTCAAGTTGGGCACAAGCCAGGCAGCCTTTGGGCCAAGAAGAACCCAAAAAAAAAAAGGCCCGCAACCCTATTTGGTGGTGGTGGGTCTTCTCTTTCTCTTGCCCNGATCTCTCGCTTTAAAAGTATTCAAGTTGGGCACAAGCCAGGCAGCCTTTGGGCCAAGAAGAACCCCAAAAAAAAAGGCCCGCAACCCTATTTGGTGGTGGTGGGTCTTCTCTTTCTCTTGCCCNTATCTCTCGCCTTAAAAGTATTCAAGTTGGGCACAAGCCAGGCAGCCTTTGGGCCAAGAAGAACCCAAAAAAAAAAAGGCCCGCAACCCTATTTGGTGGTGGTGGGTCTTCTCTTTCTCTTGCCCTTTGACTTTGGGTCTTGAAGCCTCAACCAACCTTAGCTGCAGGATACAGCTCTAATCAAGTACATTGCACAATTAGTTATGTTTTCTAAGAGTATATCACGCCCCTGTACCCCTTTCAAGCATGACCCTCTACATTGACGAAGTCATTATGCTTATCCAATGAATTTGCTTATTTCAACATGTCCCCGATTTATTTGTTTCATATAATTAATACATGACAATACGAGATACACACCATTTGAATCACAATATATATAAGAGAATTCTGAACTGACCACCTAGACTCAACAAACATCTTTAAGAAAAGGGAATTATGAACTGACCATCTAGTCCCAACAAGCATCGTAACTACGGTACACTTATTTCCAGTAAACAAGTACAATTCAGTGAGATGAAATCTTGAAAGAGAAGGACTTATTGATCCATGCCTTCCAACTACTGCTCCTTTTCCGAGCAACCATCTCCGACCTTGCTTCCGTCATCTGTGGCTGCTTCTGTTTCTTGCAAAGGACGAAGTTCCTTACCCCGCGAATCGATTCGGATGGACTCAGAGCTGCAACCGAATGTCATATAAAAATTGGACATCATAACCGTATTTCCTGAAGATTCATGGTTAACACTACGATACCAAAAATTATTTTTTAATATCATATCNAAAAATTGGACATCATAACCGTATTTCCTGAAGATTCATGGTTAACACTACGATACCAAAAATTATTTTTTAATATCATATCGAAATTCAGGGACAAAGTCTGGAATATCTATGAAGAGAATAAAATATAACTGAAAATAATTCACTAGTTGATACAAAAATAAAATAAGTTCAAGGTTGACAAAAAATTAAGACTCAAAATAAACTTATTATGAAATAGTAAATTCAATTTTTATTTAACATAAACAAAATCTGAATAAAAAGATATAAAATAATTTTTTTATTATATTTTAACCCAATTATATATTTTAATAAAATACAATGTTCTTTAAAATCTCTAAAATTTTGTATAATAATTATGTGTAAATTAATTTCTCTCTAATTTTTGATCAATATGCACAATTACAAGACCATAGTAAAATCATTCTTCATTTAATTGTGAAACCTAGTTGAGATTATTATCGATCTTCTACAGAAATTTCAAATTCGAAATAACTAGAAATATTTTTGGGTTGCAATATTTTGTCTTTTATATCTAATCATGTTTTATTAAGTTATAGACTATTGTTACTAAAAAAAATGGTAAACGAAAATTAAAAATTGATCTTAAAAACTAACAAATATTGTGGTAGACAAAGATAAGTATTGTTTTTAGGTCAATATACAGATAGATCAGGATAATTACATCTAATTTATTAAATCAAAAAATAAAACATTTATTTTAGAAGGTTAGTGAACCACTAATTTAAAAAAAAAAAAAAAGATTAGAACCATTATTAAAATTTTCAAAAATTAAGAGAGGCAAATATAATGTATTAAATAATTTTATAGCTCCTTATCAAAAGTAATCTAAAAGTGAGGGAGGTGAAAGTGTCCACCTTGGTCCCCATGTGACTCCGCCACTGTCGAAATTGATATAGAAATGGTTATGCCGACGAAGTTTTGTGAGTTGAGGTGAGGAATTAATATTAATGTTGACAAACTTTTTGGCCAAAATAAACATTTTTTGAGTTAAGTAACAACAAAATGGATTTATTTCCAATCAATCCTAAATAAGTTGGGATCGATCCTAATCTAAACACTTTTAGCCTTGATCCTGAGATTTTTCATCAAAACTCTATTTAGGTATAATCTATTCCAAAAATATTGTAAAAGTGAGAGCAGCTAGTATGATACTTCATGAACACTATGGCATGTTTCTAATTGTTGATAGTAAGATAACCCAACCATAACATCTTAGAATTTAGTTTTAAATTTGAAAATCACTACAACATCAAAAATAAAATAAACCTCATGAACACTAAATTCAGGGAGGAGTTTGTTTCTGTACCGTCCAATCCTGCATTGGCAGGATAGAGAAGAAAATTATTGCCATCAGAACCGAGAACCGGAAGGCGACGTTCGCGAGCATACAATTTTAGGGCTGTATCGATAACCACGGTAACAATATCATCCTCATTCACGACAAACTTTATTGGTCCAGCACTGCCAAGAACGTTAACAGTAATCAATAACCGATTGTTGGCACTTTGATTCTCACCATTGTTCTTCTTTTTCTGCTTCTGTGACAGCATTTTCTCAGAAAGACTTCTCTTAGTCTTCACCTCTGCATTACTGATCTTATTAGCGTTTTGCCTTGTACCCATTTGAAAGAATGCCTCAACGAGATTGGTGAAGACAAAACAAAGACTAGTTGCAAAGATTAGAAAGAAAAATAGATTTGGGTTTAAGGGTCGAGGCCGATGCAGCGATAATACCAGGCATCTTTGCAGGAACCGAAGGATGAAGAAAGGGTTGGAAGGAGAAAAGAAAGCATCAAACGACGGGAGATTTCAACCATTCAAGACGTGCTTTGAATTTGGCTCAGCGGAAGGAAGAGTCAGGAGAGAATAAGAGGACAGTGGTTTTCAGGGTTTGAGTTTGCATATGTTGTGGGTGTTTTAGGGTTACATGGGACTTATATTCAAAGACAGGCATGAGCAGTTTCGTCAGCTTCTTGCTTCTAGGGTAGGTCGTGTTCGTCATTACTATTATTTGGAGCATGGTATGGAAACAAAATAAATAAATAAATTCTATTTTTTCTTTCTACTTGTAACCAGATTCCAAATGCTTGTATAGTAAACCACAACAATTAAAAATTTAATTGTAGCCAAGTCAACTTTCTATTGGTTATGTTATGCCATTTTTTTGTCTTTGACACACAATACAATACAAAGTCATAGGATGAGGTGGCTGAGATTGTAATCCAAGTTGAATCCGAAACTTAATCTATCACAAAATATAGTCTAAACTTAAAATTGCTAAAGTCGGGGTACATAATTTGATTTAAAATTTGAATTCAACTTGAGTTTGATTATCATATTGTATAATTTCAATTACAGTTCACGCTCAATACAATTAAACCTAAAATTGGGTTCAAGTTAGATTACGAAAATCCACATAATCCAAAACCCCATGTCAAGTACAACTCAAATTTAAATTGTTCATCGTTCAAATTTTGTTGCCCAATTCAAACTCAAATTTTGAAAATCTTTGTTCAAATTCTCAACATATCATATTGATTCCATAGTTAAGCATCCAATAGCACCCCTACACAAATTGTGTACACCTTTTTAAACTAATTCGTCTTATAATTGTATTGTACTTGTCCCATTTCATTTTATGGTTCACTTTTTAAAATTCACAACATGACTACTGGTCTTAGAATATAATTTAAGAAGGCCACAACTACGAATCACAAAACGAGAAAAGACTGCATAATGCATCTAATTCGACTTTTTTGCATGAGTTGGCAATGGGATCCATTTTTTTTTTTTTTGTATCATTCCTTCATTTATCACATTTGTAATTACTTTTAGCAAATTTATTTTTACCACTCTTGTCGTACCAAAAAAAATGATAAAAATAGCTATTACAACAGTGATAAAACATCTACACATGTAATAAAAATATCCATAAATATAAATAAATCACTCAAAAATGTGGTAAAAAAAATTTGGTTGTAATAACATCTATTAAAATAATAAAAGTTAGAGGTACCATACGGAAAAAAAAAAAAAAAAAAAGGGCACCATAGTCAAGTCAAGTCTCTTTTTGCAATGCTAAAAATCATATTGGTACGTCACATCTCAAAATTGGGAAAGTAAAAAATTTTAAAATTATTATTTTTTACTCTTGAAGATTATTTTTTTCTAATTACACCATCAATGTCTTAAAATAATTATAATGTAATCCTCACACTAACTTCCCTTACTATTTCCATCAAATCCTGTTACATGTGAAGCACATGAATTTGACAGAAATAATAACAAAAGCTAGTGAGAATGCCATATTAGATCTAAAAATTGTGACAGGTTAAATAAATTCGGGTCGAGTTTTAGCAGCATCATGTCAAAAATTACTCAACCCGTCAAAAATCACTCATTCATTTTATAACATTAAGGGTGCAATATGAGAAAATTAATTTGAGAGTTTAAATTAAGAATTTTAAGATCTTCGGGGTGTAAAGTGTGATTTGCCCCTCAAAATTAAGAAAAAAGTGAGATTTATTTGTTTATAAATCATTTCTCATTTTTTAATTCTTTCTGCCCCTCTCTTTATTGAGAGTTTTTTCTAACAATATTTCCTTTGAATTTGTCCACATAACAAAATGATTTTTTTAATAAACGGGATAAACGAAAAAGTTGACTATTATAGGCAAGTTAAAAGGAGAAGTATCAATCCCTAATTAGGAAGTTGCAGCATGCAATCCTCAAATTAGAGTAAAAAATTCAAATTAACGGGTAAGGTGAAACGTCCATTTCTGCAAGGTAAGATATATTAAATCGATTTTCCATAGGATCCGAAGATATCAACTATTATAATTTTTATTTTGTAGGAAATTATTGGAACCATACATTTTAGAATCGATCACAAGTACCACAAAAATAATAAAAATACCATAAAAATTATAAATAATAATATAATATGAGTTTTTTTTCCCGGTTCCATAAACAATTCTTAAATTTTTTTTTTGTATTTTTGGCCGATCCGTCCCGGCCAGGCATCATACAAATTTCCCCATTCATAGAGCTGGCCCAAAAATAGTTAGGGCCGTAAGGAAAATTTTTAAATGGGACTTTAAATTATTTTTAAGATGAATAATTTATTTATTTTTATTTTCATATTTTAAATATTTAAATTTATATATTTTAGTAGGAATATACATTTGAAGTTAAAAACAACTTACAAAATAAACACATTATGTAACTGATTATATTAAAATCAACTTAACTCAAAAATTATAGTTCCAGAAAATAAAATTAAATAAATAAGTCAAAGTTATTACAAATACATATAGAATAAGAACGTAAAATCTTGTAATTTTTTGTACAAAAATATAATGTGATCATTTTTTTTTCCATTTTGAATAGACATATATTTATAATTTAAGGAATAACATTTTTAAAATATTTTAAATTTTTTCTTCAAAACATCTTAATTTTTTATTTTATTAAAATTTATTAATATAATTTTAAGAAATATATGTAAATTCCCTAGTCAAGTGATAGCCCTAGGCGACCTCCTCACTTGCCTACGGGGTAAAGGCGGCACTTTCCATACATCAACCACAGAAAGGATGGGATAAGATGTCACAGGATCACATTGACTTCAATCATTGAACTTTATAATGGTTTAAAAACGCTATCTAGGTGCAGATATAATGGTTTAATTTACTATGTGTTGACGTTTTGGGTGGCCATCCAAATCTCAGTGCTAACGCTTACTTTGGCTTTCAATAATCAAATAGTTGATTCACCCACTTGTTTCACCCCACCCAAAAACATCACTTTTTATTTCGTCGGTTTGATAAGTAAATTAAACCAAAAGGAATTGGTAACTTACCCAGTACAGGCTTAAGATTGTTTGACTTAAAAAAAAAAAGATTAGAGATGTTTAGTCCCTAAACATCTCTAATTTAGTGGTAAGAGGTTGCACTTGATTTGACTAATTAATCTTCTTTTCATAAGCAATGCCTATTGTACTGCATCATTGAGTGTCTTACACTTAAAATTTTGCAAATAACAATAGCAACACAACCAACTAATCGTAATACTATAAGATTTTTTTTTTTTCAATTACCAAACAGTGCATATTAGGATACCAAATGGACTGCACAATGACACATTCGACATAATATAGCAAAGTAAAACCAATTTTATTCAAAGATAGCCAAAACTATTATATGTGCCCACGCCTAGGAGTGACAACACATCATATCATGGAGGTCTTATCATTTCAAATTTATGTCGTGTAAATATTATTTTATAGTTGTGTAATTTCTTTTATATATGTACTAATCATAATCCGTGCCTAAAGGCACGATGAAATATAAAATTTGAAGGCCTAAAAAATTGATCTCACTATATTAAATAACAAATTTTCTTTTCTCCATTTCTTTGATTACATCATTTAAAATTTATTTTTACCAATTATTTTCTTAAAATATTAACAATTTCTCAAAAAAAGTAATCTGACAAAATTTTCTCAACATGTATATATTATCGTGTATGGATAATGTCTAAAATAAAAACTATGTTAAACTACAAATTAATCAAATATTAAATGATTGAACATGTGATAAAAATGAGTAATGTGATATTTTTTAAAGAGAAAATATATAAGGGATAAAATTCAAGTTGTTAGGTGTTTTATTATATAGATTCTTTGAAATTAAATTCATGTCGATTGATTTACTAAGTGGACATATTCAATTAGGTTAACTATAATTTGAAACCATCCACCGTTAAAAGTCAAAAGTCATATCCCCTATAGAATTTAATTCAAGATGGTAAACCCCCCCCCCCCCCCCCCCCAACAAAAACAAATCAGACCAGCAGACCACCCTGAGGATATCAATTACTAAAGGTCCTGTACAATGTAAAGCATTAAACATGGCAAAGTTTTTCGACGAAAACCAAAAATGTTTTGCTTAATTATATCTTATGTCAATTACTAAAAAGCACAGATACGAATATTAAATATGGAAATGACATAATACAGAAACGATGATACGATAAAATTTTAGAAAAAAATATACATATATGTTTAAAAATATGAGAGATTAAGAAATAAAACATATCGAAAGTTCAACTTCTTATGTTGCTGCAATAGAGACTGCTTAATAATGTAGCGAACTCATTATTCTATTTATTTTTAAAACCGAACATGTGTCACCCTTCGATTGACTCAATATTCACTTTTTAATTGCGGTATATTTTATTGAGTAATGTTATTAGAACCTAATTTACTGACATAATTTATTGACCTAATTCATTGTGACCTTTGGATTGATTGGAGGCTCCATAAAACATTGGAACTTAGTGTTGATCTAATGATTTCTAAGAAGCCATCATTATGTTAGCAAATTAGGTCAAATTTTTAAGTACAATTAGTATTACTCTATTTTATTTGTTTTGTCATAAGTCATAAAAACCCATGGATGATTGTAGGCAAATTTTTTTTAAAGAATTGACAAATCTTATGACATATGTGATACACGGTCCAAATAAACAAGTTAGAAAAAGTAATCCACATTTGTATTATTAATGATTTCCACACAACCCACCTCACCAAGTATAATAAGAATGTATTCATTGTAAAAATA